CTCAATGTTGGTACATATATAAAACATCCCACAACGCTTTCATACTTACCCTTTACATCCAAATCTTAGTACTTTCTTCCATTAAAATACTTAGATAGCATATACTCTTCAAAATAGAACTCAATGCCATATTCCCACAGATTAACTTAGTATTATCTCAAATAAACTTGAATCTCAAAATGTTTGTAATATGATCGAGCGCGTACAAATAAATATCTTAAGATCATCAGAAATTTCCAGCTTAACTAATGTGTTGAGTTAATCGATCGATGGAATGGCCAAGAGGGGGTGAATTGGCAATTAAAATTTTGGTGGAAGCTTTTGCAGAAAATTGAAAAGATTTGCACATCGATTTAGAGTGGTTCGACTTTCTCAACCAAAGTCTACGTCCACTACCTTAGCTATCCACACTAAGGATTTTCCAACAAATTCACTAATTTGTTCTTTCTTTTGAGGCCAAAGAGATAACCCTACAACTTCTTCAAGAATATACCCTAATTCTTGAGAACACTCTTTCTCAAAGAGAAGATTACAAATTTGCAAACTTACAAGGAAATCCTCACAAGGTAGATTGCTTGCACAATTCAAGAACAAAGAAAAGAACACTAAAAAATGAATACAATTGAGTACAAGTAGTGTTCTTGAAAGCAAAATGAATATTGAATGAAAAATAGGCTTGAAAATGCTCAAACTTGAGGTTTGATGCTTTCTCTTTGATTCTCTCTTGATTCTTGTTTCTTGTGTTTTCTTGTTGTTGATCAATGTCTTCTAAGCTTGTTTAAATACACCTTCAAATGATTCTGAACATTGGGGATGATTAGTGGAGTCAATAGAGTCGTTTAAGTGTGAAAACAATTAATTAAATCAGTTGGGAGCGTCAGTGCATCGATGCATACACTAGGTGCATTGGTGCATCGATGCATCAAATGCATTCGATGTTTTCATAAAACTCTGAGTGCATCGATGCATAGTATGTGCATCGATGCATGAAATGCATTCGATGTTCAATTTATTCCATGGTACATCGATGCATGGATTGGTGCATCGGTTCATCACTTTGAAAAATTGATTTTAGGCTTGATTTTGGTTCAAAATACTTTGTGAAAATTGTTTTATAAATATATTAAGTATAAAACACAATTTTACACATTTAGTAAGGTTTGAAATTGATCTTGAAGACTTGGAGTAATAATTTGATATTCGAGTAATTAAATTGAATATACTTAGAAAATCATTTGTAAAATCTTAAAATTCATTTATACTTAATTTGTTATATTGAAATATCAAAATATTTTCAACAATCTCCCCCTTTTTGATATAACAAAACATGTGTGTAATTTTAAGATGTTCTTTGAAAATAAATTTTGAAAAATTAAGTTGAAATTACTCCCCCTTACTTTAACACACTTCTCCCATTTAAAACATTTTAACACTTTAACATTTCTCCCCCTTTTTGTTAAATCAAAAAGACTTAAAAATTGATTTAAACAAGGTTTTGAAAAACATAGCCAATTGATATGTATATATAGCTTAAGTTGTTATGATCAAAGATCAAAAGAGAGATTAACCATTAGTTTAATAATCAATATTCATAATCAAATGTGAAATGGCATAATTGCTCATAATGAACTAATATGATGCAAAAATTAAGAAACATTAAGCTCAAAATAATAAAGTTAAAATCAAACCAAATATATATATAATAAGTTCAGTCACCCAAACATCCAAAACATAACTCCTAACAAATTCAAACATTTAAGGATCCAAAATAAACAATCCAGAAACATCAAAATCAATCCAAGTTTTAGAAAACCAAGAAAGCATAACAAGGAAACAAATCTACTCCATCGGAGGATCGGGAGGAGGGGATAATGAGCTCAATCTTCAAGAGTAAGAGCGTCCATTTGTTCACGCATCTCCCGCTGAAACTCAGTAATCTGAGACTCTATGGAGGCAAACCTCAGATCAAATGACTCTAAGAAAGATCGAAAATATGGTGGCGTTTGATCTTCTTGCTGTGCTGGTTCCGGTGCAGGCTAATCGTCTGGTACGTGATCGTCGATATCTTGCATGAGCTACTAAAATTCTGGATCATCGTCAGCAGCCGGTGCCGGAGGAGGAGGAGGAGCACGAGAAGAGCTAGGAGCAGCTTGTGAAGAACTCGCTCCCGGAGTTTGCATACCGGGTCGAAAGACCCAAAGACCGGTTTCCTCATCTTGTTTCCAATCCGCTTTCTTCAACGATGTGAGATTGATTGGGTTTTGGAGAGGAATTGGATTGTCAAGAGAGACGTTTAGACCAAGTTTGATAAAAAGGTTACTAAGAAGACATCCATAAACTAATGTTTCGACATGTTTTGAAGGAACAATGTTTATGATATCCACTAGTTGACTAAAAATAATGTGGGGCAGATTTATTTTGTTTTTATTCTTGAGACAGTGCATCCACCATAAATCCCTAGCATGAAGAGTGGAGTACCTACCTCCGGATGGTCTAAACCACCAAGAGATCATCAAATGAAGAAAATGATCATGATGAGAACGTAGAGTACTAACACTAGCGTTTGGATTATAGGGATAATCCATAGTTTCATTCTCATTAAATAAACCTTCGTCATCTAACCCAAAACGAAAAGCTATAGTCTCGGGGTTAATATTAATATATTGGCCTAAAAGATATGATCTAATTGCTATAGTCCCACATTGAGTTTGGTTTTGAATGCATACCGCATTAGAGTAGAAAATGCGGACTAACTGATGATAGACGATAGGTTTGAGGTGAAACATTTTATCAAACTTCCAAGTTTTAAGAATCGGAAGGTATTCGAAGTCAATATCTATCATGGCTTGAAGAGAAGGAATACGCTCTTCCCGGATTCTATAGGATTGGAAAGAATTTATGTACCTAGAGTACAAGTTGTCTCTACGATGTTCAGGCATATTAAAACAGGATCCTATAAGAGATGTAGGTGGAGGAGGAACGAGATTAGGAGGTTGGTTTGAACGAGAACGACTCGTTGAAGTTCTAGGGCGTTTGGGATTAGACATGGTTTAGGAATCGAAAAAGGAATGAAACCTGCAATTTGAAACACATGTATGCACAATAATCAATCCCAAAACTCAATTGGGTCCTCAATAATTCAAGGTTCTCTAAACCGAATCCTAATGGGCAAGGTTTTGAAAACTATTTGAAAATAATTTTTGAAAAATCATAATATGTATAGTTTTCATACAAACAACATAATGAAATAAAAAACATCAAATTTAAAAATTAAATTCAGATTTTTTATTTTTTTTTATTTCGAAAATTCAAAAATTCTTTGAAAATTTGTGAGTTTTTGATGAAATTGGTTGTAAAATCTAGTTTGAAATTATCAAACAATCAATGCCCGATATAATGTTCATCCTAGAACTAATTAAGACTGGTCCTAAGATCAAAATATAATAAACTAGAAGATTTTAGAAAAATACATTGAAAATTTTGGATTGATAAGAATGAGATGGTGTGTTGCACGATTTAATGAGATAGCAGGATATAGAGATGAAAAGCTTGAAGTTTCCGATAAATTTTGTTGATTTGAGAAAATGGAGATTTAGCGATGTTTTTGAGGGTTTTGAAACGAAGAGAATCAGGGTTTTTAAACAAAACCCGATGGATGCATCGATGCATGGCCTTGTGCATCGATGCACAAGGCGTGCATCGGTGCACCTTCATGGTGTATCGATGCACATTCGGGATGCATCGATGCACTGTTAAGTGTATCGATGCATGAAGCACAAAAATGACAAAAATCCATTTTAATAATTAATTAGCTCTAGTGGTATTGGCAACTCATATATTGAAAATTAATCATGTTCAATCAATCAAATTAATCCTTAAACAATATTTGAACATAAAACTAATTTTCACCAAAGAACATAAACTCCCCTTAACTAATAGCAATGAATGCAATCAAAAATTACTATTATAAGCATTTTTCATTTATTCTTAAAAATTTTAAAATTATTTTAAACACTAAGTGAAGATAGGTCAGTTAAACTTAATTCTCTCCTAAGTGTCCAAAATCTTTATTTGTCTAAAGGTTTGTAAAGATATCCGCTAATTGATGCAAAGTATCAACAAATTCTAGAACTAAATATTCCTTAGCGACATGGTCTCTAATGAAGTGATGTCTTATTTCAATATGCTTAGTTCTAGAGTGTTGGATGTGATTTTTAGTGAGACAAATAGCACTAGTATTGTCACACTTGATAGGAATGGTACCTACTTTAATTCCATAATCAAAAATTTATTGTTTCATCCATAAAACTTGTGCACAACAACTACCGGCTGAAATATATTCCGCTTCAGTGGTAGATAATGCAACACAATTTTGTTTCTTTGAAAACCAAGAAATCAGCATATTTCCAAGGAATTGGCAAGTACCAGATGTACTTTTCCTATCTAATTTGCATCCTCCATAATCCGCATCAGAGAAGGCATGCAAGCTAAAACTAGAGTCTCTAGGATACCAAAGTCTTAAATTAGGAGTGTCCTTAAGGTATCTAAAGATTCTCTTAACAGCTAGTAAATGTGATTCCTTAGGGAATTATTGAAATCTAGTATATAAGCAAACACTAAACATAATGTCCGGTCTATTTACAGTTAGTTAAAGCAAAGAACCAATCATTGACCTATATAATTTAACATCCACACATTTACCTCCTTCATCTATGTCAAGCTTTGTTGATGAGCTCATTGGAGTGTCATGTGGTTTCCCATTTTCCAGTCCAAACTTCTTGAGCATGTCTTTGACGTACTTATCTTGATTGATGAAGATGTCATCTTTTCTTTGCTTGATTTGGAGTCCCGAGAAAAATGAGAGCTCCCCCATCATGCTCATCTCGAATTCACTTTGCATTAGCATAGAAAATTCTTGGCAAAGAACATCATTAGTAGAACCAAATATTATATCATCAACATAAATTTGAACTACTAATAAATCTTTACCTTTATGCTTTAAAAACAATGTAGTATCAACCTTCCCTTTTGAAAAACCTTTTTCAATTAAAAAGTTTGACAATATTTCATACCAAGCTCTAAGAGCTTGTTTTAAACCGTAAAACGCTTTTGTCAATTTAAGAACATGATCTGGAAATTTTGAATCTTCAAAACCTGGAGGTTGTTCCACATACACTTCTTCTTTTATAAAACCATTTAAAAATGCACTTTTAACATCCATTTGATAAAATATAAATTCATGAAAGCATGCAAATGCTAATAACATTATAATTGCTGACATCCTAGCTACGGGAGCATATGTTTCATCATTATCTATGCCTTCTTCTTAAGTATACCCTTGAGCAACAAGTTTATCCTTGTTTCTCACTATATTACCACTTTCATCAAGCTTATTTCTAAATACCCATATAGTACCTACATTAGATTTATTACTAGGCCTTTCAACTAATGTCCATACTTTACTTCTCTCAAATTGATTTAACTATTCTTACATAGCCATAATCCAATGTTCATCATTTAATGCTTCTTTAATATTCTTAGGCTCTATGCATGAGATAAATGCAACATAATTACAAATATTTTTAAGAGAAGATCGAGTTGTTACCCCTTTGGATGGATCACCTATAATTTCACCATCCTTTCCATAGTTGTACTCTCTTGGGTAAGATACTTCCCTTTCTACAATATTGGATTCTCGAGAGGATCATGGGTTTCCTCATCTTTCGTTTCTTCCTTTGATGATGGTTCTCCAATGTCATGTCTAACTTCATTTGTATTTATAACACCTTCATCATCATTCAAACAAGAATCTTTTCTCGGAAGGAGATTATCATCGAAAACAACATGTATAGATTCTTCTACAACCAATGTTCTTTTGTTAAATACTCGATAAGCTTTAGAATTTAAGGAATAACCCATAAAAATTCCTTCATCACTTTTAGCATCAAATTTGCCAAGATTGTCTTTACCTTTGTTTAAAATAAAACATTTACATCCAAAAGGATAAAAATAGCTAATGTTAGGCTTTTTAGTTTTAAAAAGTTCGTATGTAGTTTTCTTTAAAATAGGCTTAATTATTACTCGATTAATAACATAACAAGCAGTATTTGTGGCTTCCGCCCAAAAATATTTTGGCAAATTATTTTCACAAAGTATGGTTCTAGCCATTTCTTCTAAAGTTCGATTTTTCCTCTCAACAACTCCATTTTGTTGAGGGGTTCTAGGTGTTGAAAAATTATGGCTAATACCATTTGAATTACAAAATTCAGTAAATCCAAGATTTTCAAATTCAGTTCCATGATCACTCCTAACACTAGTTATAGAGTAACCTTTTTTATTTTGGATTACTTTTGAAAACGTGATGATTTTTTCTAATGCTTCATCTTTAGTACTTAAGAATATAACCCAAGTATATCTAGAATAGTCATTTACCAAGACAAATGCATATTGTTTTCCACCCAAGCTAGTAGTTCTAGATGGCCCAAAAAGATCTAAGTGGATCAATTGTAATACTTTACTAGTTGATACATCGTTAATGGATTTAAAAGAAACTCGCTTCTGTTTTCCTTTAGCACAAGCATCACAGATTTTATCATTATCAAATTTTAGTTTAGTAACCCTCGATCTAAATCACCTTGAATTAGCCGTTGCAAAACGCTATTACTAGCATGTCCTAGTCTCCTATGTCATAACCAACTATCATGCTCATCCTTAGCAACTAGACATAAATTAGTCATATCAATAGAATCTAAATGCACCATGTAGATGTTTCCTAGTCTATGACCAACAAGCATAATCCGATTAGTTTCAAACATGACATTGAAACTCTTATCACATAATTGACTAATACTTAAAAGATTATGCTTTAACCTATTCACATATAAAACATTTTTAATTTGTATGGAAGAGGTATTACCTATTGTACCTATACCTTCAATGTGACCTTTTGAATTATCACCAAAAGTCAATTCTCCTCCATTTTTGGCGTTAAGCTCTATGAACCGGCTTTTGTCCCCGGTCATGTGTCTTGAGCATCCACTATCAAGGTACCATGAGTTTGAATTTGTTTCCCGTGCCTTGTAGCAATGCTCCTTTTCCTACAAACATAGATTAATTTCTAATTTTTGGTACCCAAATTCTTTTGGGTCCATATTCATTAGTTTCCAAAATCCTAGTCCCCTTAGGTATCCATTTGTGTAGGATATCCTTATCTTTAGTAGTAATGAGTCGTTTAGGAACCCATATACTTCTAACGATTTTTCCATTAGAGGTTCTTCGGGGACCTTTATGATTGTAGTTTTTAAAACTTTTTCTAACAAAGTTGGATTTTGAATTTTCTCCATTTTCAACACGTTTTGTTTCAACTTTATCAAAAGAAGCTTTAAGATCTTCAATTTTCTTTTGATGATCATCATTGACCTTTGAAAGTAAATTTTGCAAATACGAAATTTTCTTTTCAAACTCTTCTAGTTTGATTTGCAAATCTTTGATTTTACTTTCAAAATCATTGTTGGTCTTGGATATGAGCTTATTTTCATTTTTCAATTTTGACACATCATTTTTATATTTTAAAAACAATTTCTCATAATCTGAAGCCAACCCATTATATTCATCTAATAACTCATCATAAGATAAATCATCTAATTCAAATGAGTTAGAGGTTACCTTAGAATTTTCCCTGAATGCCATCAAGCACAAGTTTGCTACTTCTTGTTCCTCTTCATCAGAACCTTCTTTATCCTCCATGTAGCCACATGAGCCTTGTGCTTATTCTTTGTTTGACCCTTTCTCTTCAATTGTGGGCAATCATATTTGACATGCCCTGACTTTTTGCATTCATAGCAAATGATAGGGTCATTCTCTTTCGGTTCATTTTTTAGGCCTTCATTTCGTTTGAATTTTCTTCCTCGGTAAGGTCTCATCATTTTTCTGAACCGTTTGAAAAATAATTCCATTTCCTCGTCATCGTCATCTTCATCCGAATCACTCTCATCTTTTGTGGATTTGAGAACAACTCTAATGTTTTTCTTCTTCTCTTTCTCCTTTGGTGTCTCGTCAATCTTATCGAGGTCTACCTCATCTTCAAGCATCATTTCATGAGTGAGGAGGTAACTGATTAGCTCTTCAAGAGTTAAGGACTTTAGGTTCTTAGCCTCGATGATTTTCGTCTTCTTGGATTGCCACGATTTTGGAAGTGAGTAAACTAACTTCCTCACAAGATTTTCATTTGGAATGATCTCTCCATATGATTTGAGACCATTGACAATCATTGAGAATCTATCCGTCATAGCTTTGATATCTTCATTTGGTTTCATCCCGAAATTTTCATAGCTATGTGTTAGAAGACTAATTTTAGATTCTTTTACCTCGTCGGTGCCTTCATGAGTGACTTTTAGTTTATCCCATATTTCTTTGGCGGTTGTACAAAATGAAACTCTTCCATATTTATCTGGTCCAAGAGCACAAAATATGATATGGATGGCTTTGGAGTTGAGCTGGAACATTCTTGTCTCTCATTCACTACACAATCTTGGATGAGTGAGAGTCTTGATATATCCGTCTTCTACAACATTCCATGCTCCCGTGTCACTTGCTTGAATGAAATACATCATCTTATTCTTCCAATAGGCATAGTTATCTCCATTGAAGAAAGGAGGCTTGTTGACGGGCATCGAATCGAGACCGGAGTCGACATTTGAAGTAGATGCCATTGATGACTTGATAATCGATGTAACTCTTCCCAAATCGACTCAAGAGGTGATTAAACCTTCAAATGAGTGACACTCTGATACCAATTGTTGAGTTAATCGATCGATGGAATTGGCCAAGAGGGGGTGAATTGGCAATTAAAATTTTGGTGGAAGCTTTTGCAGAAAATTGAAAAGATTTGCATAGCGATTTAGAGTGGTTCGACTTTATCAACCAAAGTCTACGTCCACTACCTTAGCTATCCAAACTAAGGATTTTCCAACAAATTCACTAATTTGTTCTTTCTTTTGAGGCCAAAGAGATAACCTTACAACTCCCTTAGGAATATACCCCAATTCTTGAGAACACTCTTTCTCAAAGAGAAGATTATAAATTTACAAACTTACAAGGAAATCCTCACAAGGTAGATTGTTTTCACAATTCTAGAACAAAGAAAAGAACACTAAAATGAACACAATTGAGTACAAGTAGTGTTCTTGAAAGAAAAATGAATATTGAATGAAAAATAGGCTTGAAATGCTCAAACTTGAGGTTTTTGTGTTTTCTCTTTGATTCTCTCTTGAATCTTGTTTCTTGTGTTTTCTTGTTGTTGATCAATGTCTTCTAAGCTTGTTTAAATACACCTTCAAATGATTCTGAACGTTGGGGATGATTAGTGGAGTCAATAGAGCCATTTAAGCGTGAAAACAATTAATTAAATCAGTTGGGAGCGTCAGTGCATCGATGCATACACTAGGTGCATCAAGTGTAAAATTCAAATATTTTGACAATTGGACCCTTAGTTCATCGGTATGCTTGAAATGCATTCGATGTTTCAAAATAGCCAGAGTGCATTGATGCATGGCTGGTGCATCGATGCATCAAATGCATTCGATATTTTCATAAAACTCTGAGTGCATCGATGCATGAAATGCATTCGATGTTCAATTTATTCCTTGGTGCATCGATGCATGGATTGGTGCATCAGTGCATCACTTTGAAAAATTGATTTTAGGCTTAATTTTGGTTCAAAATACTTTGTGAAAATTGTTTCAAAAATATATTAACTATAAAAACACAATTTTACACATTTATTAAGGTTTGATATTGATCTTGAAGACTTGGAGTAATAATTTGATATTCGAGTAATTAAATCGAATATACTTAGAAAATCATTTGTAAAATCTTAAAATTCATTTATACTTAATTTGTTATATCAAAACATCAAAATGTTTTCAACAGAATGAGTATTAAATTATGAATATATCTTAAGAAGAAAGAGTGATCACTTAGAACAGGTCAAACAAGTTTCTCATTGGCAAAAAAAAATTATGTTCTCACTAGATTATAACCCCTCAATTATGAGGTTTGAGATTTATTATTCATAACATAAAAAAAAATACTTTAGGTCCTTGCTTGATCATCTTCAAGTCCACTTTAATCAATGCAACATCTAACGGGGTTCACGACACTACTCGACTTCCTCCACTACTCTTTTATCATCGTAGCATTTAAAATAATCTTCTTAATTTCAAATTTCAAATCAACACCATACTCTATCAATCTAATTGTCCAATGATCAAATCAAGCTCTTTTCATAATGACTCTTTTAACTCAACTAACTTAACAGATATAAGATATCGTAGAATTTTCCAAAAATGAATATCAATTATCAGAGGAAATTAGGGTTATATAGATAAGTAAAAATATTCACTAACAGATCAAAAGAGTTTGCTTGAGATAAAAAGCGTTCTAACTTTCCTCTAACCAGAGTGATCATATCACTACCTAGGGCATATGGTAGATCTATCGGAGTTACAAGTACTCGAGAGGTAGAATAAGCTAACAGAGACATAGAATCTACATACATATCATTTATCAAATCAGAGAATCTAGTGGCTCATCCTTGCCCTCAGGAAAGTCGACGACCACGTCTAAAACTAATATAAGAGAATTTCAAAACTTGCTATACAGAGGTAAGTCTTAAGATTATATTTGACACTTGGAGTCTCTTACACAATTAAAATTGTAAAAACTTAGTGACATGGCCTTTATAACTAATTTTATAAAACATTCTAAATCCGTGATTTATTTTGGACTCATCCACAGTACGAGGTTTTAAAAACCAAAAGCTCTAATACCAATTAAGTGTAACCCCCTAGACCTAGCCTATGCGTTTCGACTAAGTCTAGCAGAATACATTAAAGATTCTTAAAAACTTTTTCCAAAAATGTTATTCGATAATTTAAAATCATATTACAAATAACATTTATAAAAGTATAATAACTAACAATAAAAACCCAACTCGTAAATATAAAACTAAAAGCGACTAGGTAAAATAAAACATGTAACAAATCCGGAGCACAGTAAATCATATATCAGTAGCAAAAGCAGTAAACATCATAAAAAATAAGTACTTCAAAAATAAGGCACATGTCACCATAATTAAAAACAGTTCGGAAGATAGAAACATTACAACAAAATGATTTGTACTAAATGTGCCAATCCTTTAAGTGCATGATACAAAATGCCTATCCGAGAATATCTGAAAGGGGGTAAAACGGTTTGAAAAATGAGTTAGAGGATCAGTGTGTCACAACAGTGCAAAAATAAAAACATACAATTATACTTTTTAAAATCAGTATGTATCACAATCATTAAAACATCATAGGATTTTTTAATTTAAAAACTCTGTATCGTCCTCCAACCGAACGCCATATGCGTTCCCCAGAATTGCACAACCTAAGGGAGTACTTTGGGGCCTGAGAGCCTACCCAAGACAATTCTTGGGGCCACGGCTTACCCAAGAAAATCTCTGGCCGCAGAGCCTAGGGTCACCTTAGGTCCATAAGGAATTACCAGTCGGTGTTGAACCTATCCAAGGAATTACCAACAACGACTGAACCTGCCAGAGTCTTCATACCAGATCCTAGAGTGCCCCGAATAAAACATTTTTCGAACAGTAACCAATAGCAGTAAAACAGAGTTCAGACAGATCATCAATTCATTAAAACAGTAACCAGAAATCATAATTCAGGCAATCATGCTTTATATTTTAGTAAATCAGGAATGAGGTTTCAAAACAAGTAATTTATACAATAGTCAAATCAGATCAAACATTATACTTCAAATAAGAGAAAACATTCATGTGCACAAGATATTTCAAACAGATATTTAAAACATTTATATTACACACAAGGAACACACCTCGCAAAATGGGTTGGATCAGGAAATCTATTGAGCACTGGAATCGCTACGATAAAAAGTAGTGCACCATTCTACATTATATTATAACATAGTTGCTATCGGAGTAATATTCTAAAGGAATTATTTAAAAGGGTTGCGGAACCATACGACTAATCACGACTTAGACATGCAAATAGATCGAAAGGTAATGGGTCTAGCTTCCAGTTTTTTTCCCACGAACTCGGACCATCAAATATACGAACTCGAATCCAAAATAATTTCTTTTGCCACCTAAATAACTTATTATAATCTAAATAATAATTTGAGGCCTCAATTGGTAAAACTAAAAACTAATGATGCCATCAAAATATTTAATTACTTAAATTAGGAACTAAATTGATCCTATAGAAACTATTATGTCATAACTATAACCACTTGGAAACTAAGAGATAAGGAAGATCTCACCAAACTTGGATGACTCACCTTGTGATTTTCAACTTTTTCACTTTATCAATATTCTCAAAACCCACATGCTCTCTGAACCAAATTTTCATTTCTTATTTTCCCACTTTGTTTCGTTCCCTTCTCCATAAAGCTCTCACATCACAAGCAAGCTGCTCATTCAACCGATCACTGACCACCGCTGATCATTGGAGACCACCACACCAACCACCGTCATCAATCATCATTCAAGACCTAAAGCACACCATTGGACTCGTCTCGCTCTCCTCATCACAGATATGGCCTTCATTCACCAAGAATAATGATGAATGATCATAAATTTAACAAAAATCGTTTGGTTTCCTTAACATAAAATAATTTTGTTCGTCGCTGACAACCGTCCGACAGAGCTAAGATCGAGATATGTTGTTCCTCTCCTCTCTAAAATGCTTCTAACTATTGGGATCTCCAAGATAAAGCCCATAACGTCATAAAAAAACCCTGACCTCTCGTCGACCTTCATCTTCCCATTTGCTTTGTTTTACGTTGTTATGAGTCGATTGGATTGTTTTGACTTGCAGGTTACTGGACGAGGGGAAAAGTATTCTCTCTTGCCATTCGCTGCTACTGTCGGAGAAGAAATGGTTGGTGTCCTTGTTACCGATTCACTTGGTTCACCAGGGTCGCTAGATGATTTGTTCGACACTGGTAGGGGTTCATTGGAGGTAAGGTTGAGCTGAGTTTGGTGTTAGCAATTTACTATTTTGGTGAACGTACATGTTCACACTTTGGGTCGGAAAAACAAAAGAATAAATTGATATTTTTGTAGCTGGTTCTGATTGGTTTTCAACTCCCCCGTTTCAAACTGAGTTTTATCCCAAAAATCTACAAATGAGTGGCTCTCAACATTATAATAATAATAATAATAATAATATTTACATCAATCAATAGGTGAAGTATCAAAAAAATTCTGGAGCTTCCTAAATCCATAATATCCAAGGAAGGTTAATTTGAAATCAAGTTCCCTGATTCTTCTAATCTTTCTTTTAAACTCAACAATATTTATTAGACTGAAATTTCGAACTTTAAACAAATTTAACCCCTAAGTTAGGATGTGATAATAGATGAACTCTAATTAATCATTCAGAATCAACTCTCACTAAATCAAACAATTAATCTATTAAGTATGCCAAATGCTTGGCAGCATACATCTCAATATGCAAAATTGTGTCTCGCAATACCAAGGCTGAAAAGTAGTATGAACATTAATATATATATTTCTATACTATATGAATAAACATGCATGTGATAATAAAATCTATTTAATCATCCAAAAGCTCAAGGCACAAAGTCATAAACTTAAAATATTCATCATAGCACAAATACCAAATAAACTACTAAGTTTAAATAAAATATCATCCACCAAATAAAACAATATTCAAACTATCCTATCTCAGGCGGAGGACAGGTGTAGATGAAGTGATCTTTATTGATTATCGATCTACTAGGAAAAAGCTTCTCCTCGAATGCTGTAGCACTCCCCAGCTAAGTGGCTTAAGCAGCCATGGCAAGAGATAAGAGAATTTGTGATGAGTGTTTGAGAGTGAAGTGTACAACATCTGATGCGTAAATGAATAAGTGACCCTCATATTTATAGGTAAAATGAGCCATCATATCTCCAATGAAATTGTTCCACATGTTTGGTGTTGGTTGGAGAAATAACAATGCTTCAACTAGCTGTCCCATTCGAGAACATTCTACTTAGCATCTGATGACTCATCGCTTTCTACGACCTCTACTCAGCATCTTCTATAGCTTCAACCGATGTTGGAGAATTTTTGTACCCTTTTCCACAATAAAAATAAAATTTAGCACAAGTTATACTAAATTTCTCACGATGCAGTATATATTCAAATGTAATAAAAAATATCCTAAAATGCTTCTAAACATGTTTAAGTTTAAACTAAACCTAGGTACAAATGATTGATATGATAACTCTTTTGGAGAGTTATCACAGCCCCAAACCTAAATGTTTAGTTGTCTTCAAGCAACAACATGCATGAATGCAATTAACCTAAACAATAATACCACATATCAATATCAATAAATTAACTCAGCATTTAACTTCATTTTTCAACCGTCAGTTCATTGCTTTAGTAGTACATACATCATTCATATAACTTTAAATTTGGAATTGCATTATTAACTCACTCAAATCAAAATCCACAGCTTGTAATTGTGCAGGTTAGGTGTATTCAGTCAATACTTAGTTAATTTAGAAAAAAGTGAACCTACTCATATAATGTTTTTCAATGTTGCAGCTATGCACTTATTTTATATTAATGCTGGAGCCAGTTTTATGCACCTCCAACTTATTTTCACCCTTATTATTGCAAGAGCCGATCGTGGGCACCTCTAGTTGAGTGTTTTTTTTTCACTAGAGCCAGTCTCTGGCACCTCTAGTTGTGAAATGCCACAACATCTAATAGATATATGAGTTAATTCAAAAGTTCCTAAATTCTCTAAGTATTGAAACATACACCTAAGGTGTAAAATTCTTTTATGGATCCTAATTCGAACAAGTTCCCTAAACAATCCCATAACATTTCATCCTCTAAACTTTTTATCATCATTGGGCATTATCAAAATTAATTTAAAAGCTTTTTGATTTTATAACACAAACCAATGGTATTATCCATGTAAACCCTAAACAAAATGTTTCATGCAATTTTTAAACACAATGCTAAAACAAAATGCTTAACATCATCAGTGACAACTGCAATCACATCCGTCGAGGTAACTAAATCAGCCTCGTCCTCATCCTCTCTTACTCTTCCTCATTTCTTTCTTACTCCTCTACTTTATTAGTTTTAGATTTAGTTTCTATGGTGTCTTACCCATCAGTAGTCTTGGTCGTTGGCTCTTCCTCAATGCTGTTGGAACTATTAGTAGCATCCGATATATTTGGCTGAGCAAGGTCAGTAAGCACACTCATCGGGAAAGCTGGAAAAACAACTTTGCCATCCTTGATCATATTTGCTGACAGCTTCTTCATCACAGAGTCTCTGGCCTGGGCATATTACCAATACTGCACCTGAGCTGAGTGCATTTGTGATTGAATCTGAATTGTATGGTTCAACATACTCATTATATTTTATGTCGTCCCACCACAAATACTATAGCATTTGGCAGATCTGAGGATGCATTAACAGGTTGGGAGTTCAGATTACTGACCAGTAGTAGGCAGCTCACTAAATTTTGGCACTGATGATCCCGACTCAAGTCATTCCTTCAACAAGGTCCGTTTTATGGTAATAATGGTAATAGTGCTGTGATAAGTGAAGGAAAATACAAATATCTAATAGTTTTTTTTAACTACATGCAAACAACTCAACAAAAAGGATTTTTCCCACATCGATTTTTCTTTCCATTAAAATAGAATGTAGCAATAAAATCACATCTTTAGTTATTGTCGAAAAGTACATTGTAGCAATAAAATCATACCCATGCCTCCCGATTGAGGTCCAATCGACGCATAGTATAGCCGCCAGAAGAGGATTTGGTCCAAGTTTTGCCTGATAAGAGCACGTCCACGCCAACTTGATCCAGAGCAACCGTTGTGAGATTGTTGACAAACTCAGTGTGTTTGAAAACACCATCTCCAAGTCTGAGTAAATTGTTTATGGGTGTAGCCCACCAATGAACTAGTTTCTCACGAACAAAGACCAATGGTTTCTTTTCAACTACCAGATTACTGTAAAACTCCCAGACTAAATGGTTATTAATATCTTGTGGGTGGTAGCAAAAGGTCTCCCATTTTAGCCGTGCAATGGTATCGGTCATATATGCAAAGGGCTTTACATCTTCAGCAGTGGACAAGTCAAACTCTTGTTCATGACAGAACTCATGATCGATAATTCCTCGTTATACCGCCTCTACTGCTTGACTTCCATGAAATGCATTGGTTCATCGGTAGAGCGAGCTACTGGTTTTGCTGGTGAAGTTGGTAGCGGAGGGGTCGGGGTACGACCGAAATCCTTAATGGCAACCTTCATTTTTGGAGCCATGGTTGAATGAAGAAATTGTTTAGAAAGAAAGAAAGAATAGAAAAAAAATGAAGGGCCTTTGAGTGGGAAGGAGAAACGGCTGAAGACAAGGTAAAAAGTGAAAATGCAATAAGTAGGCGATTTGACTTTTCTAATATTTTTTTCTGACATTGTTTGACCAATATTTCTCGAACTAACACTATTTCTGTTGATGTGGCAAAAGGCGCATCTCTAGGGACGCGTTTTATCTGGGTTTTAGTTGAGTCGGATGTCACCTGGGTAAGGCACATCCCCGGGGACGTGCTTTACGAAACGTGTAAAAAATTGGGTGTTGGTTTTGTAAATAATATTAAAATGATGCCTAATATATAATTAATTTCTGTTAGGGTGATATTTGTGTAAAAAAATCAACTTTATTTACCGCAAAATCCCATACATTAAATTCTAAAAATACGTCCCCTCCTTTTTACACATTTTGTAAATTAAAATGATGTTAGTTTTGTAAATAATATTAAATTGTAATTAATCTCTAAACGAAATTAATCTTCATGCAGGACCTTGATCTTCCCTCCTTTTTAGTCCTACTTTTTTTACTCATCGATTAATAAACAGATTCAGTCCGGATATATCACACCTCGAAAGATCAATACGTACACATACACATACACATGCACATACACATACACATACACATACACATACACATACACATACACATACACATACACATACACATACACATACACATACACATACACACATTACCATAAAAGTTAAATATTCAATAAACAGGAGATCTAAATCTCTCCAAGAGAAAGTGAAACTGTTTTATTTCCTCCAATTACCTCATTCTTCTTTTCAATGGACACTAGTTATTCATAAATGTAGCGCTTATAGTAGACTTTAGGCTATCAGCACATCTTGAATTCACATCCAATATCTACAACTCCTTGAGAGATCTCATATAAAATCATAACTTTATCCATATTGCTTACAGGTACAACATTCCGCAATACAAGCATGAAAAACCTTTCCACTTTTATGTGACAGGCAAAGCATGCTCAAGGGTAGTTCGAATCTGAATCTGAATCAGCTAAAAGAATCCCGATATCAGTCATCGCTTCCTAATACCCTTTCTTTCGTTATGATCCTAGTCACTATCAGAAAAGTATCTCCGAGTGTCAAATGGTTGGTTCACAGAGTTCGTATTGTAGCTGTGTGTGGCATTTTGTTCATTGATTGATGCAAATGCTGCATAATACATGTACACAGGTGCTCCACATAAGAAATACAATACATTGCATATGATATTTGCATGCCATACATAACTGAAATTCTCCTGCATTTTACATGACATGAAGTAAATTATTTGTTAACGAGTCCAAGAAATACGGGGATTTCATGGATGTATCTACACTCCAGTTTACTCTTGTAAGCCTAACCATCCCAATGTTTAAGAAAACACAATGAAAGAATCAAAATTTTTTTATATTAAATATATTCGCACTATAAATCAAACACCAAAAACAATTTATCAGCTAGTTGGAAGTGCATATTGAAGAAAACTGCAGCTTTTGTGTGACAGTCCGCATCAAACAGTCCGCAATAATTGGCAGAGCAGAGCAGGTCACTGCTTTTGGAGTCAGGACGTGTGGGTTTTGCCGCAAATAAAGTTGACTTTTTACACAAATATCACTCTAACAGAAGTTAATTACATATTAGATATTATTTTTATATTATTTATAAAACTAGCACTCAATTTTTTACACGTTTTGTAAAGCGCGTCCCCGGGGATGCCTCTTACCCACGTGGCATCCGACTCAGTTAAAACCCAGGTAAAGCGCGTCCCCAGGGATGCGCCTTTTACCACCTCAACAGAAAGGGTGCTACTTTGGGAAATATTGGTCAAACGGTATTAGAAAGGGAATATTAGGAAAAAAGTGTGTCTCAAATAGCCCAATAAGTATGAGTTACTTTTAGGGTTGTTGGGATATTAAATGTGTGGCGTGTAAAGATGGGGAAAATAAATTTTAAAATTAGGTGATAAGTATATAGATGAAACAAGATGAATGGTTTTGGTAGAGTAAAGTGGTCAGTGGAGATGAAATGAGTAAATGTGGATGACAACTGACACAAATTACTTTTTTACCAAAGGTTACCTACCCGACTGGCTATTGCTGCTAGCATTGAATATAATTTTTTTTTGGAATTGGAGGTAATTACCATGCAGCAGGAGCACACACGGGGAACATAAGATAATGAGATAGCTTCAGCAACAACATGAAAAATAGAAATAGTGGAGTGCATTGAAATCTAGAAAAGAAATAATCTAAACTAATGTCAAGAGAATTGACTTTTTCATAACAAGAAATAATTAAAAAGAGGGGGTTTTCTTAGTGTAATGGGCGCAATGCTAAGGCATTGTTGTTGACAATAATGCTTCAAAAGGTTCCCATTGACTTTGAACGTGGTCCCATCCACTAAATTCTTTGAAAGTAATTCCCCATGAGGATATACTTCGACCACTTCAAAAGGTCTACACCATCTAGACTTAAGTTTGCTAGGAAAAACTTTAGGCGAGAGTTGAATAATAGAACTTATTGTCTAGCATAAAATTACATGGGAAATATATTTTGTTTTTCCATTTCTTACTTTCATTTTTGTAGATTCAGGCACTCTCGTAAGCATTGTTATAAGCTCTTCAATTTAATTGAGGTGTAGCATTCATTTTTCTCATGCAACATCAAGATCAAAGTTCAGAATTTTCAATGCCCACATTGTCTTATACTCCAGCTCCATAGGTAAATGGAAAGCTTTTCCATATACCAAGCGATAAGGAGACATCCCCAAAGGAGTTTTGTAGGCTGTCCTATACACCCATAAAGTTTTCTCAAGTCATAAGGACCACTCATTCCTTGAAGGATTCACTACATCTTCCAAGATTTCCTCTATTTTGCAGTTAGTGACCTAGGCTTGGCTATTTTTCTAAGGATGGTATGTTGTAGCAATGTGATGTTTGACTCCATAACGTTGTAGTGCATTTGCTACTTGTCGACCAATAAATTAGGAACCCTCATCACTAATAAAGGCTCTTGGTGTTCCAAAGCGAGCAAAAATATGTTTGTGTATGAATCAGAGAACTGCTTTAGAATCACTTGAAGGTAATGTTACAGCTTCAACCCCCATAGAAACATAGTCTATAACAACAAGAATGAAAAGAATGCTATAAGATAATAGGTATGATCTCATGAAATCAAATCCTTAAACATCGAATAATTTAATCTCCAGTATAGCTGCATTGGCATTTCATTACGATGAGAAATGCTACCTATTCATTGGTAGCAATCACAATGATGCACAAAGTCATTAGCATTTTGAATAACGATGGCCAATAATAACCACATTGAAGGACCTTTGTTGTTGTACACATGCCCCAAAGTGTCTACCATATGGTGCACTGTAGCAATGATGTAGAATGCTTTACTGCTCATTTTTTGGAACACACCTCCTTAAAATTTGGTTATTACATTGCTTGAAAAGGTAAGGTTCTTCCCAAAAATAGGCTTTAATATCTCGCATAAACTTCTTTCGACCTTGATGATTAAGATTTGGTGGTAGCATACCACTAACTAAATAATTCACAAAGTCTACATGCCATGGTAGATCCTTGATGGCCAGTAACTTCTCATCGGGGAAAACATCCGACTTTACAAGTATCTTTCTATCCACACTTCTGGATTCCAAGCGGGATAAATGATTAGCCACTTGGTTTTCAGATCATTTTTTCTCTCGAACTTCAGTGTCAAATTCTTTAAGAAGTAACACCCATCAAATCAATCTCGATTTAGTGTCATTCTTAGAAAATAAATTCTTCAGAGCTGAGTGGTCAGTGTAGACAATTACGTTGATCCCAACCAAGTATGGGAAAAATTTGTCAAAAAAGCACCACAACAAGCATTCTTTTTCAGTTATGGTGTAATTGACCTGAGCATCATTCAATGTCCTACTAGCATAATGAATAGCATGGAAGACTCTCTCCCTTCTTTGCCCCAACACAACTCCTACAACATGGTCGCTAGCATCACACATCAATTCAAAAGGTAAACTTCAGTCTAGTACTACAATAATTTAAACATTGACCAACTTCGATTTGATGGTCTTAATGGATTTAAGGACTTCATTATCGACCTCAAATTTCTTATTTTGCTCTAGCAATGATCATAAGGGTTTATCAATTTGAGAAAAATCTTTGATGAATCATCGATAAAAAACTCACATGTCCTAAAAAACTCCTTACGGTTTTCATATTGGTGGGAAGAGGAAACTTTTCAATAACCTAAACTTTAGCTTTGTCTACTTCAATGCCACATTGAGAAATATGATGCCCCTAAACTATGCCCTCAGTCACCAGGAAGTGGCACTTTTCCCAGTTCAAAATCAAGTTAGTTTCTTCACATCGCTTCAGAACAATTTCCAAATTAGCAAGGCATTACTCAAATTCTTGCCCAAAAACCAAAAAATTATCCATAAATATCTCCAAAAATCTTTAATCATATTATATTAGAGAATATTGCCATTATGCAACGCTAAAATTTTGCTAGAGTATTGCACAAGCCGAAAGATATTCTCTGAAATGCAAAAGTTTCATATGGGTAAGTATTGGTAGTCTTTGCTTGATCTTTAGGAGCTATAGCAATCTGATTATAGCTGATATATCCATCAAGAAATTAGTAAAAGCTTTTCCAATAAGTCTATCCAATATTTGGCTAGTAAACGACAACAAAAGTGACCATTCTTTGTGGCTTTATTCAACTTTCAGTAATTCATACAAATTTGCCAGCTCGTAGTTGTGCGTGTAAGCACCAACTCATTCTGCTCATTGGCTACTACAATAATGCATCCTTTCTTGGGAACACATTGCACAGAGCTTACCCAATTGCTTTCAAAATAGGATATATATCCCAGCATCCAACCACTTAATTATTTCCTTTCGAACAACTTCTTTCATGATGGGTTTAACCTTCTTTGTTTCTCTATTGAAATGTTGTTAGGGTCTTCTAGAAATATCTTATGCATAAAAAATGTTGGACTGATTCCTTTAATGTCAACTATACTCCAAGCAATCACACTTTTATGTTGTTTTAGAACAACAATTAGACTGTTCGCTTGTGATGGTGTGAGCTTTGTTGCAAGAATGACTAACAAAGTTTCATTTTATTCAAGAAAAACATATTTCAAATGTTCGGGCAAGGGTTTGAGCTCAAGTTTAGGAGGCTCTTCTATTGACAGCTTCGATGCTTAAATAGGTCGATCAAGAAATTATAAGGATTCAAAGTGTTGCATGAAATTCCCTTTAGCTGCCTCATTTTCTTCTAGTTTTGTAATTGCTACATCATTAGTAGCAACGACTTCCTTCATGCTGCATCGTTCCTCCAAATGCTCATGCACATAAATGTAATAACATCAATGCTATTGTATTCAACATTATCATCCATATAAGAAACATTTTCAAGACATTAAATGTGATATAGTCATCATTCAAACGCATTGTAATTTCTCACTTTTCCACATCTATAAGGGTCACCCTGTAGCAAGGAAAAATCTTTTAAGAATGATTGGAACATCCTTGTTGGCTTCATAATCCAATATAATGAAATTAGTAGGAAAAATGAATTTATCCACTCGCCCGAGCATTTTTCCATAATTCCACTAGGTTGTACGGTGGAACAATCGGCAAGTTGCAAAGTCACGGTGGTGGGCCTTGTTTCTCCACTTCCAAACTTGTTAAAAATTGACAAGGGCATAAGATTAATGCTAGCACCTAAATCATATAAAGCATTACCTATAAATTGATCACCAATGTTACAAGGAATAGTAAAACTCCCTGGATCTTTAAGTTTTGGTAGCAAATGACTTGTACCATTGCGCTACAACATTTGGTAAGTGCTACGATTTTGAACTCACCTCACCTTCTCTTTTTGGAAAGTACTTCTTGCATAAACTTGATGTATTTTTAATTTTGCATTAAATCATTGATCAATGGATGTTGATTGTCAACTGTTGAAGTACATCATAAATGCTTTGAATTCCTG